TTTTTTGAGACAGGGTCTCACTGTGTAGCCCTGGTTGCCTGGAACTTGCTTTGTAGACCCGACTGACCTCAGACTCACAGAGATCTGCCTGCTTCTGACTCCCAAGTGTCAAAAGTAAAGAAGTGTGCCACCATGCCCAAAGGTCAAAAATGAAGATTCTTATTAAGTAAGATTAAGTTGAGCCCCAAGGTTCTGCATAGTTCAGGTGGTGCTGATGTGGTTGGTCTATGCATCACATATGAATAGCAAGCTAGTACAGCATGTGGCCTCTTTTTCTGCCCTAGGTTGTCAGTATAATTAACAGGCAGATGTGAGTTATTTTCAATTAAACACAAGGCAATGCCTTACTTTCTATATTCTAAGTATATTATGAGCTTATACTGGACTGCAAAGTATGGATTTTGTTATTATTTCAGGTTTAAAAAGAATTCAGAATGGTTTTCACACCACCTAAGGGAATGTCACAGAATATACAATTTCCTGTTTTACTTTAAGAAATACTTAACTATATGAGAAAGTGACTTGGAAAGCACTAATACTGGAATCACACTCTCAGGACTGTAGTTTGAATATGAAATGCCCCTCATAGTTTGACGTGTTTGAACCCTGGGTTCCCAGATAGTGGTGATGTTTGGGGAGGCTGTAAATCTTTTAGGAGTTGGAGCCTTGCTGGAAAAAGTGGGTCATTGCGGGTGGGCGGAGGGGGTGTTGAGGTTTTATAGCAAGGCCTCACTTCCTGTTTGCTCTTGCTTCTTGACTTTGAATGCAATGTGACCAGATGCCTTCTGTTCTTGTTACTATGCCCCCCCCCCTTCCTGGCCATGATGGACTGTATCCCCTAGAACTGTAAGGCAAAATAACCTCTTTCTCTCTTAAGTTGCTTCTTGTAAGGTATTTGATCACAGCAATGGGGAACAGTAACTAATAAACTCAGAGATTCTGATTTTTATTCTTCTAGGAGTGCAGTCCAACTGTTGGAACTTTCCAAATGATTATTTGAAAGTGTCATTGAGAAGCCACACTGGGGGTGGGGGGGTGTTATGCACAGGGTGCTGTCCAGTGTGGAATGCCTCTTAGAGAGTAAATGTATTGTACAAGGAAAATAGCATATGTTTTAGGGGAAAAGGGGTAAATTCAAAAGAGTGAAATTAAAAAGCTACTATGCAATAGAAGAGCTGAGTGATAGTCTAAGTATTGACTAAAGTCCAAGAAAAGAGTGTGACTGAATAGAGGCTCCCCAAGTAATAGCAGTGTGGAGGAGACTGAGTCCCACCTTGTTCCTTGCTCTTATTGATCTTGAAGCAGCACAAGGCTAATGCCTTTGTGTTCCAGGTGGATGTTCTGGAGCCAGAATGGAAATGGATAAGGAATGCATGTTTGCAATGACTGCTAATCTCAAATCTAATGTTTTCATTTTGGAACTGCTTAATGGAAATAATACAATTAATACACTTAAACTCACAATAACTATAAAACTTGAAAAGGGCTTGCTGTTCCCTAGACCCCCAAACCAGGGCAGAAGGCACCTTTGGTTGGTACAATACAATCTGTGGAGTTCATGATTAAGCTATGTTAATGATGCTTTTTTTGTTTTTTTGGTGCTAAAGCAGCACAAAAAATATCAGTGAAAAAAAGTAGCACACCAGCACACTTTGCCCATGCCTCACACCTCATACTGGTTGTGCTCTGGGCAAAGGGACCTTGTAACCATCATAACACAGCTGACACAAGGCTATATGAGCCTGGGCCTGAGAACCTGTCTAGACACTTTAGTTCGGATGTGATGTCATCCTAGAAAACTAACCCTTGACCTTTTCACAGGGAACATGTATTTATATATTTATAAGGTTTCAGAAAGTAATTCTCTTGTGAACCAGAAACCAAGAGACACCTGGTGAACAGTAAATATCTAGACTGTCAGAAACTAAATCTGAACACCTTTATCAGAGAGGCACCACCCAGTTCAAGTGAACAAAAGGTTCATGGTTTTCTCTTTCTCAAAGAGTTCACTTCTGTTTGTGATCTGTCAGCCAATAGGGGATTTTGGTTACAAATTCTTATCCTTCTATCTGCTGCCTGCCTCGCAGCTGTTTAAGGTTCCTATTGGGCACTGCCATTATCTCAATTTCAATTTAGCCACTAGATCCCCAGGCCCCAACAGTCCAACTGGAGGCACTTTTGCTTCTCCCTGCTCCTTGCCTTCAGGTAAAGGTTGGTGCAACAAAAGCAAAGCGATAGTGTCCTGTCATGAAGGGGCCGCTGGAAACACAACAGGCCCATCCCTGGCCACAAAGGGGCCCTTGTGGCTTGTTTATCTATAGGCTGCTGAAAACCTAGGCCGTCACTTTGTTTGACTAGAATAAAAAGCTTGAAATGATCTTGAGCACAGATTTTCTTTCATTTAAAAGAAAGATCAAAGGATGAAAGTCTCATCTCCAAATCTCACATTCCCGTTCTCTCATGTCACCACAGTGAAAGCAAACGATATGTAATTATTAACTGATGGATTCCTTATGAAGAGTTTCAGCTACAGCCCACGGTATTCGTTTACTTTGTTCATGCATTTAGCTCCCTCATCAGTCAAGACCAAAAAGTAGTACTTTGTTTGACAGATGAGGACCCCCAGTGTAAGTATTCTTAGAGTGTACATGACACATCTACATCAGAAATCATGCAACATACTGTAATCACTCATACATTCTGCAAAGATGATTTTCTCACAAAACAGTTGTGGCAGAGACTTGCCGAGTAATAATTGAAAACAATTGCTTGCAATCCAGTTTCCCAAACATCGAACTGGTAAGAATGTTCTTCATGCGAGGAATCACTTATTTTCATTTATGTGGCGCCTGGGAGGGAAACTACTGATGGAAAAGGTGTGTGTTCAGAGCAGAGGACACAAGAACCACTGCGAGATACATTTGTGTGTCTGTGCTTGTGGTCTGTGTGAGGTCTGTGAGTTTATGTATGCAGGTATTGTGGGATTGTTTGTTACTATGTGCAGTGATGGGCAGCTTGTGGCTTGTGGACCTGTGCAATAGTTGTGCTTCAGGACAAAAGGGTGGATCTTAATTTCCTAATTTGAGGATCCTTGACAGATACGCAGAACTTTAGTTTTCATTCAACTCAGCAAAGTTGAAATCCAAAGACGTGTAGACAACTTAAAGACAAAAAAACCAAAACCCAACCCCCGCAAACCCAAAGATGCCAAAATGTCTAGATTGTTCTATCCAATTTTCTAGGTAAAAGGAAGAATTATTTCTGACCTGAATTTAGAAACAAAAATCTTAACTGGAATGTAGGACAAGATCTTAGAAGTAGATGTTTTTGTGCTGATACACCAACATACAGGAGACTTCTGATTGCAGGTGTTGTAATTAGATCCAAGAATGGGACCCAAATCCATATAGAGCATCAATCCAGGGACAAAGTAAAGTTGGACATCTCAGTGTTCCTTCCCAAATTTATCATCAATATGTTTTGTGATTACAGTTGTACTTACAGGGATTGGAGGCTTCGCAAGTTCTGTAGAGCTTCTGTGGGTACCTGTCTTAGCTGATTATTCTGCAGCATACTGTATATTAAAACAAATGAAGAAAGACATTATATAAAATTAACAATAGTTAACAATAACTGATCATAACACAACAGAGCCAGGCACTGTTCCAGGTACCAGAAAAACAGCAGAGAATCATGCAAGATTTTTGCTCTTGGGGAGCTTCAATTCCCAAGGTGAGTGCAAAGAACGAAAAATAAGTAAATGAATATATAATATAAATGACAGAGCTGTGGATAAAAAGCAAAACACAGTAAACGGTCATAAGATAAGGCTTTTATTTTAAAGGTGACTCAGGGAGGGTTTCTCTGAAGAAGTGCTCTTTGAAGAGAGACCAGAATGAAGGCAAGGACCAAATCTTGTGAACCCTGGAAGGAATTACTGAGGATGTAGATGGGATGTGGTGGCACATGTCTTTAATTCCAGCACTAGGGAGGGAGAGGCAGGCAGATATCTATGAGATTGTGGCCAGCCTGGTCTACATTGTGAGTTCCAGGTTATGGAGAGATCCTGTCTCAAAAAAGAAGTTACTGAGAAGAGAATGTGCCAAGGACCACATGTTGGAGCTTACTGTACTTCTAAAGGAGCAGCAAAGTGTAGGTGTGGATGAGGAGGAGTAAGGAAGAGGTGTGGATGAGGAGGAGTAAGGATATGCAGTAAGTTGAGAGAGGAAAATGAGACCATTGCATGGAAAATTTGGATGCTTTTGAATATGATGAAAACCTCCTTTTGAAGGGTTTAAGTAAGAAAATGATCTGACCATATATATATTTAAAGGGTCATTATGGTGGTTGTATAGCTAAAATGCAGATAAAGATAACAGTAGGAGCTGATTAAAGATATCACCTATGCATGGCAATACTTTGCTATAAACATACATATTGTGTATGCACATGTAAGTGGTTATGCTTTTGCTGTTCTTGCATAGTTGAGTAGCTTTTTTTTTCCAGAGCATTGAGAGTATAGAATGGAAATACCTGGCAATAAAAAAAAATGCACTATTGCTAGCAGGAAAATAGCATAAAATTTTTTATTAGATTTCTTTTATTTGCTACCTTTTCAGAAACACTTATAACATAATAACCTTACACACACACACACACACACACACACACACACACAAACACACACAATTTCATGGTCTATGTAAGCCTGAGTCAGAAGACTATTTCAGGAAAGTAGAAATTAAAAAAAATTTCCATGGAGCTGGAGAGAGGGCTCATGGGTTAAGAGCACCAGCTGTTTTTGCAGAGGACCCAAATTTGATTCCCAGCATCCACATGACAGCTTACAACCATCCATAACTCCAGTTTCAGGGGGTCTGATGCCCTCTTCTGACCTCCACAGGCATTGCACTTAAATACATGGAGGCCAAGCACTCATACACACAAAATAAAAAATAAGAAATAAAATATTTTTTAAAAAGAAATATTGGAATTTAACAGGTCAAAAACTTATATTTGGATTTTTGAAATGATACGCCTGCTCTCTCTACAGCTGAAGTTTATTTCCATAAAGTGACTGGTTGAGGTTCAATCCTGGGTATGTCTAAACACAAAGCTTGGTGTCTTTTCTTCTGTACCAGGCAACATTTTCAGGAGGATTACCTGTTAAATGCATACATTCTCAGGTCCTCTGGGGCATGCAATGGCTAAGCACATGGATTCTCACATCTGACCACATCTGCCCTACCATTACCCACATGGTCTAAGGGCAATCACAGATTTCTTTATGTTTTAGTGGTCACTAGTGAGTCCCACCTTAGAGGCTTATTGTGATGATTCAAGGAGTGAAAGTACATAGAACATCACTTGCTATGTGGTCAGCATTCAATACAGGCTGACCCTTTGCATTTGCCTTAATAAATCTTTTCTCAAAGCTAATGTCATAGTGGGATTTGCTGAATGTGACATTTTAATTGAGTTGGAGAAAAATACTCTAGAACAGCATTCTTAAAATTTAGGATTTATCAGAATCCATGGCAAGACTTGCTAAAATACAGATTGTTTGGCCCTACTCTCAGTTTCTGGACAGTAGGTCTGGGTAGGGGCTGGATATGTAACTTCTAACAAACTACTAGGTACTACTGATACTGCTACAACCTGAAGATCACCATGTCATGCTGCTTCTAATAGAATATTTTCACCCAAATTTGAGGATGCATTGGGCTTGGAGTCCTGGCGTACAAACCTGCCCAATTCCCCTCACCCTTTGTGCTTTATCTGTATAATTCAAACACCATTATCTGATTGAAAAGGTGTTTGAGAATTAAAATATGTATGAAATGTGTAATACCTTCATGTATATAAATATTCATTATTTCATACAGCAGTAAGATATGAAAAATATTTGCAGGCCATAATATTTATATTTTTTCACGATGACTGATGTTTTGTTTTCTAATGAACATAACTGCCATTTGTTATTTTATTTTATTTTTAAAATTTTATTTATTATTTTTATTTTATGTGTATGCATGTATTGCCTGCATGTACGTAAGTGTACCTGTGTCATGCAATGCCCTCGGAGGACAGAAGAGGCTGTGGGATCCCGTGGGACTGGAGTTACAGACAGTTGTTAGTTGCCATGTGGGTGCTGATATTCAAACCCAGGTCTTCTGCAAGAACAACCAGTGTTCTTAACCACTGAGCCATCTTTCCAGACCCCATTATTTTATTTATTTTTATTTTGTGTGTATGGGTGTAATGCCTGCATATAGGTAGGTGCCCATGCCATGTAATGCCCTTGGAGGTCAGAAGAGAGTGTCAAATTCCCTGGAACTGGGGTTATAGATGGTTGTTAGCCACCATGAGGGTGCTGGGAATTGAGCCCAGGTCCTCTGCAAGAGCAGTCACTGTTCATTTTTTTTAATTAAAAAAATTATTTTTAGAAGAAGCATTTCATTACAGCTTTAACATACTCAATAACAGTTTCCAGCGAAGATACGTCTCATTCAAAAGTGGCTATAAAATTTTTAGGTTCACTGTTGAACTTAATAACCACATACTTAGAAGAAGCATTTCCTTACAACAGCATTGAGATATTCAATAACAATCTCCAGAGCTAAGATGTATGTCTTTCAAAATTGGCTGTAAAATTTTAGGTTTACACTTGAATTAATATAGTTATACAATATTGTACTCAATATAAACCCTATAAGACATAAAATTAAATGAGGTTTTAACCTTTACAAAAGATCTCCAATTCATTATTAAAATACAGAGTTTCAGTCAGGCATGCTGGCGCACACCTTTAATCCCAGCATTCGGGAGGCAGAGGCAGGCTGATCTCTGTGATTTCAAGGCCAGGCAGGTCTACGTAGTGAGTTCCAGGACAGCTGGGGCTACAGGGAGACCCTGTCTCAAAAATATCAAAAATAATACAGCGTTTCATACAGAAAATATCATTTTTAATACAATTGACATTAATATGTTTGCACATGCATTTCTAATCTCTATATATCAGATTATTACTAGTCAGAGTCGGTTCCTTTCTGAGCTCCTTGGCATCTGATCATGGATATAAAGTCATCAGGTAGATTTCAATGATAATTCTTTTCACATATACTAATTATTTTCCACAACAAGGATACATCTCTTTCAAAAGTGGCTGTAAATATTTAGGTTCACAGTTGAATTAATACAGTTATACAATATTGAACTCAGTATGAACCCTGTAAGACATAAAATTGAATGAGTTTTAACCCTTTAAATAAGATCTCTATTTCATTTTAAAATATGCTGTTTCCTACATTTTTAATGCTACTAACAATTAGATGTTTCCACATGTGTCTTTAATCTCTATGTATCTGGTTATTATTAGTCACAGTCGGTTACACTCAGATCCTTAGTACCAAGTATGGATATAAAGTCATCAGGTAGATTTCACTGGTAATGTTTATCACCTCTATATAACATGAAGTAAATTTCTATGCTTCCGCCTCAAATATGTCTTTTTTAAAAAAATTGTTGATTTTTCTGTGTGTATATCATACAGAACTTCCTACACAGTCTTATTCATCTATATACCCACTTCCCAAATGGCACCCTCCTGTAGCCTCCCCCTCCCACACACTGGAGCCCTTGAGCCACTGTCAGTCCCTTTACTATCCTCTATGTTGTAGACACTTCCAGCCATTCTCCAGTGCCTGTCCGTCTGCTGAATCTAGTCAGCCTATCTAGAGAGCCTTGTTTTAGGAAGATCAGCTGTTCCTCATCTATCAGCAATCAGTTGTCAATATTCCTTTAGGTAAGATTGGGGTCTGGTTTTCATTTTCCCAGTTCTATGCTGGGTTACTATCTGGGAGTCCCTTTGGCCACCACCTTGGCCAGTAACTCAAAGGAAGGTATCACCTGTCTGGCATTGTTTCTTGTTATGTAGCTTTTAGCTATACATATGGTCTCTTAAAAATTATATTGACCCCATTAATCTTTGGTTATACTTTCCTTTTGGGTGTTTAACACCCTACAGTTGGCCCAGATAAAACAATTTATTTTTACTCTTAAGGTCATTTGAGGATCTGTTCCTCAGGGGTAACATGGGCTTGGGAGAAGCCCCTGGCTACTTTCTTTTACCAGTTCCGTCTATGTGAAGATAAATCAAAGGTCCTACTTGACCATAGCTGGCTTTGCTTGGAAGCTTGGAGGAAATGTTTCCTTTGTGTTGACCCTCCTTTTTGTAGACTGGACACTGGTTCAGGTCCATCTGGTGGAGTCTCCACGGCCTCCTTGCTCAAGAGGACAGGTGACTCACCACAGTTACAGGACATTTTGAGAGATGCTCATAATCTCCTGGAACTTAGTCGACCTAGGAGGGCAAGGAGCAAAAACTGTCCTTTGTGTCCCCCTGACCAAATTAGTATAGGCCTCAAAGTATGGCTGTTAAACATCCAAGAAGGTTAGTTCCACCAGTCTGGTACTTTTAATTACCATATTCCATGTAGACAGAGCTTGGACAAAGACCAAATTCTCTCAGATAAACCTTACCTAGGCACATATTACATTTTTTGATCAGGTTGT